CTGCAACTCTGTTAACGCTGTAGAAAAACAAAAGCTCCATGCACCAGGGTAAAGGTTATACATTACGACTGTGTTATCCCAGGCACTGTACAAATCCAGAATGCAAGATTGTCCCTTGCTGGAACAGCATGACTTATTTTCCTTCTGATATGGGGAACTTTTTGCCTTTTGGAAGTGGATTGCTGATTCAAGTATAAGACATGATCATCATCAGTGTTGATCATCAGAGAGTCAAGTGATGCTATGAGATGACTTTAGTTCTTGTGCCTTCACAAGAGTGAATACCACCCAGAATTATGTTTAATCAGTAGTATTCTGTGTTCTACCCTACTTGATGGCTATACACAGCACTGTAAAAACTTGGTATTTCCATACTCAGCCTACATATACAAGTGGGTCTCAATTGCTCTTAAATTTGCTCCCCTGGAATATTCATATATAGTGAATAGAGCCCTTTTAATTCTGTGCACATTTGTTACTCTGGACAAAACCTGAAATGAATTCAGAAACTTCTGAATGACTGCTCAAAACTCTCTGCTCTCTCTCCATTCTCAGAACTAGTGGTCATAGTCTTAAGCCAAATATAAAATTGGTAGGGAACAGCAGTAGAGTTATGTACTTTTGGATGCACTTGTATTAGCGTTCTAGTTCAGGTAATTTTCTTCTAAAACGGCCTTCCACCATCTGTGCTTTGGCTCACATCGCAGAGTGCTTTGTATGTGGGTTCCCTTCAGATGAACCTCAACCAGAGGAAACCTCCAGGACTGTCTCCTGGGCTGCTGCTGTATACCAGTCCACAGGGCATACTAGAACTAGCCTAAAATAATTCCTCTTGAAATAGGTATACAGTTGATGTTGGGTCCTCAGCACCAACTGTTTTCTTGGAAGGAAAATACTGGCTTGTAGTTGTCAGTATTAATATTCCATATATTGTCTAGCCTTTAACTTCCAGGTGAAGCCTTGAGGTATACATGTGATCCACAAATCCTCTGGCTTAGCGTGTGCCAAAAAGACTGTGACTTTCTTATGCACGTGTTAGTACAAAAGCTGTGATTTGCAGCAGTTTGTGATCTGGAGAACCTACTGAAAGAGTTCTATGTGTATGTTGAAGTGCATGTGTGTCTATAGCAATTTCTGTTTATTGAATGTGATACTTTAAAGTATGCATGAAATATGGCTTTATTTTTTCTTGCAAATTGGGTGAATTGAATTTAGCAAGACCATATAGAACCTGATTTGAGATTTATTTTTTTTTTAGAAGAATCTAAATTTGATTGAAAGCCAAGTCTCATGATGTGGAGAAAGCACTCAATCAATTTTAAATTATCATAGACTCATAGAATGGTTTGGGTTGGAAGGAACCTTCAAGATCATTCAGTTCCAACCCCTTGCCATGGGCAGGGACACCTTCCACTAGATCAGGTTGCTCCAAGCCCTGTCCAACCTGACCTTGAAAACTGCCAGGGATGGGGCAGCCACAGCTTCTCTGGGCACCTTCTGCCAGTGCCTCAGCAACCTCATAGTGAAAAACTTATTAATCTGATATTATTATTTTTATTAACCTTAGATGACACAATATGGAATTGTAGAGTGCTCTGATAAAAAATCTCCCATAGGATTATGTCTTGATTTCAAATGAGAAATGAGTAGTAATAAACAGAATATGATGTATATTGAAAGACATAAGTTGAAGTGCAAACACTCTGCAGAGTTCTTCTGCTATTTAACCATTGTTTTCAAGAAGAAAATCCAAATAGGTTGTCTCTCTAAAGAGCTCACTAAAATAGCCTAGTGAGCTCGGGAAAAAATAGGTTGTGCTTAGGCAAGAAGAAACTAGAAATGAAAAGTAATTGTGATCTCAGTACAGTTTCTTTACTCAGATGGAGTGGGAAAATTTCAGTGTTTCTGTTTTGAAGATGAAAGTAGACATGCAAGAATGATGATGATGTGGAACAGGTCAGTTTGCATACTGCATACCAGTTTTCATAAGAAGATTAAGGAGATAGGCAATTGAAATCGATAGGTGACAGTTTTAAAAATGAAAAAATGAAATAAATTCTGATGGAACTGTTCAGTGTAGCTCTGTACTGTAAGATCTTTTTTCTATCACTGCTATGAAACCATACTTAGGACAAGCATCACTTCAGATGCTGTTCTAGATCTTAAATGATCCCCACCATGTCATTCTTGATCTTTTTCAAACATTTGTTTCAGCTTTTCATCCTGTTGGTTCATTTCTGCTAGAATTTTCATTAGGCTCAGATATATGTGACTTGTCTTTGCTTTCACTGATTCCTTCAAGGCCTTTGATAACTGCTTACTAACTTCTCATGAAAAATCTCATGATTTTTCCAATCCTGCCTACTTGGAGCTTCAATCGGGCATTTTTAGGGCTTTTTTTTTCTATAATATCATGTATATGCAATACTCAGATATTGCTGACCAAAGGACTAGGAAGCCTCCTTTGTGAGGAAAGGCTAAGAGAGCTGGGTTTGATCACCCTTGAGAAAAGAAGGTGCAGGGGAGACCTTGTCACCATGTTCCAGTATTTAAAGAGTGACTACAAAGAAGATGAAGACTCCCTTTTTTCCAAGGAGTCCCATGGAGAAGACAAGGGGTGACTAGCCCAAGTTACTCCTTAGGAAACTCTGGTTGGACACAAGAGGAAAAATTTTCACAATGAGAACAATCAGCCATTGGAATAATCTCCCCAGGGAAGTGGATTCCCCAGCACTGGACACTTTAATGATTCAGCTGGACAGGGTGCTGGGACATCTAGTCTGGGCCATACTTTGCCAAGAAAGGTTGCTACCAGATGATCCTTGAGATTCCTTATGATGTGGTATTCTGTGATTCAAATATGCAAATAAAAGTTCCTCTAAACATACACAAAAATGTTAACTTCGAATTTCTTTCTTTTCCTGTGGTTTATGAAAAAGCTTGACAGTGATTAAGTTGCTGGTGTGCAAAACAGTTGATTATCTTGATAAACCATATTAACTTGCTGCCTTGTACTGCCCTGTCCATGGCTGTTGGCTGGTATATTCTTGGTTTGTAACATCATTATTGCTGCGATGTGTTTGTGTCCTGGTTCTGGATCTTAGTTTGTGATCACTGGTGAGGGGGCTACTAAAAAAGCAAGATAAAAAGTGGGAAATTAATTTAACAGAACTTGGAAAAGAATGTTCTGATAAGAGATCTCAGCCTTTCTGTATCCGCATCTAACCCTACTGCCAGCTCGGACGGGTGAAGGGTGGGTTACTCCACAAAAGTTGTTCTGTTATCACCTGCTCTGGAATTTCCCACACTTACCAGTTACAGTGCTAGCAAAAAGAGTAAGGAAAGAAGCTGGGTGGCTTGAGTCTGATCTGGAGCCACTTCTGTTTTAGGTGTCTGAATGCACAGTTTTGATGCGAAGAATTTGATATATTTTCTCCACATGTCTTGATTTTGAAGTTCATTAAGGGTGTGGTAGTCTGCAGCCCAAACTGACCACAGTTCAGCATACGTACCTGATACAGTTTTAGGCAGCCTAGTTAAAAGTATCAGTAGCAAACTATGGGCAGCATCACAGAACCATGGTAAAAAAGGTGCAGTATCTGTCAGTGAAACGGAGTTGAGCAGAACAGCCTCTTACATTGAGCTAGGTGCTGCTGCTAGGTTTGTATCAATAGTTAAATATTTTAATTCCACCTGTTAATCTGATTTAGGAAAAAATGTCATCGCTAGGCTTGCAACAATTAAAAGTAATTTATGGATCACAAAATAAAACATTAGAGCTCTGGGGCCCCCAACAGAAGAGGGATGTGGACCTGCTTGAGCAAGTCCAGAGGAGGCCACAGAGATCCTCAGGGCTGGAGCACCTCTGCTATGGGGACAGGCTGAGAGAGCTGGGCTTGTTCAGTCTGGAAAAGAGAAGGCTCCAGGGGGACTTTGGAGCAACTTCCAGTGCTTAAAGAGCCCAACAAGAAACCTGGAGAGGGACTTTTGGCAAGGACCTGCAGGTATAGGACAAAGGGGAATGGCTTTAAACTGAAAGAGGAGAGCTTTAGATTAGATATTAGGAAGAAGTTCTTTACCGTGAGGGTGGTCAGGCACTGGCACAGGTTGCCCAGAAAAGCTGTGCTTGCTTCATCCCTGAAAGTGTTCCAGGCCAGGTTGGATGGAGCTTAGAGCAGCCTGGTCTAGGGGAGTGTGTCCCTGCTCATTGCAGGGGGCAGGGACTGAATGGTCATGAAGGTCCCTTCCAGCCCAAACCATTCTGTGATTCTGTGCTTCTGAAAAAAACAGCGAAGTCTGGGATAAAGATCAACTTTATAATTCCTGAATTTGTAGGTATTTTATTTCTATCATTAAAAAATAAAATGGCAAAGAATAAACAGACCACTGAGTCAGCAGGTGTAAAACATCTTCCCCTTCTAAATCTGTTTCTTTCAGTTGAATACTGTTACCTTCATGGAGGAGCAGCTCTAAGGACAGATGGTATAAAGGTTTGCCTAGTGCAAAGTCCTATTTTCAAGGGAAATTTTCATGTTCTGTTCTTTGAAGGGCTATTGACTACCAAATCACACGCGTACATGCCTCTGATCTTTCTGAAGATGAGTCACAGTTCAACTTGTATATCTAAGCACTGGGATCACATTTGCAGTATGTTGATCACTCCTGATGACAGGACCATGATGATCTCATGTGTGGGGTTATAAAGCGTGCATTGCTAAAAAAGAGGAGTTAGAGCTATTAAAAACAGAATGCTAGGGGTTTTGCTGGTTGTTTCTTTGAGGGTTTTTTATTAGTATGCTGCTGTAGGTTTTGCAGTATAACAAACATTACCTTGAGCTTAGTGGCTCTAAATGCTGGGTTAATTTACACTCCGAGCGGACCTTTCAGCGTCAGGCAATCTTTTTTGCCAACATAAGCACTCAGCTGAAACAACAGCTATGACTCAGTTGCCAGTGAACGCTGCTTGAATTGATTTAGTCTGAGTTCAGATTTAGCACATAATCATGTTCAATTTGATCCGCTGTGCTGCCTAGAGATAAAAGGGTTGAAAAAAATAGATTTAGATTATGTCAGTCTTTGTGGTGATGTCATTGCCATGAGAGATGGAATAGCGCTGTTACTATGCTGTGCCTGCTCAGTTGGTGGGTGTACGGGGGAAAAGCAAGGAGCAACTCAGTTAAGTGCAAAGAGCTTGTGTCGGAAGCTTGCAGTTCTTGTCAGCATTGAAACAGGATCTTGGACTGTTCAACTGCAATACTGACGTGAAGATTTGTTTTTTTCCTTCTAATCATTTGTAACTCCGAGGTTGCCTGACTCTCTGTACAACAGAGGGGGATGCCAGCCCGTAGCATGGACTGTGATATCTCCACTCTGGTTGCCTGTGGGGTTGATGTGGAGGTTTTTGCCAACCAAGAGGTTAAGGTATGCGCCTACAATTCTTTTGTTACAGATGCTTCTTAGAAAAGCCTTTGGGAGCAATAGGCATTTGTATGTAGCAATTCAGACTAAGGAGGCAGATGTGATTCTGCTGCAGTAGTAAAAGTCACGCAGTTAAAAAAAAATCTGTTAATTAGGGGAGAGGAATATGTGAGAGAAATGTGCCTGCTTTTTACTGTGTTTTCATAAGCTGAAAGAATAGGCTGGTGTTTACTCTTTAATGATATAAGAAATGGGTTATATAACTGACATCTGTGTATATGCATGTTTCATACTCATAAAAAAACATTCATTGTTACTTTTGGTGAGATATTTTTAGCCCAGTGTCAGCCTTGCCACTGATGTTATTTATCAATGTTCATAATGTTCGCATATTTTCTCTCAGTTGAACAGAAGCTGTTTCTTTCCTTTGGATCCAGATCATGTGTCCAAGTATAAATTTTTTGTGAGGGGTTAAAAGTTTGGAGCCAGTATTTTGGTGAATTTGCAATATAACAGAATACAGAAAGTTGTGCATCTTGCGCATCTTATGAATACCTCAGAAGCAATGCTTAAAGGCTTGATAAGGTGGGCTCTTAATTGTCTCTTAATTAGACAATTGCCATAGAAAAGTCATCCTGTGTAATTGCTTACTGTTGAAATCAATTACCATCTTCTTTTATTCTCATATTGCTGCAAGAAAATCACTGCAAATTAAGTTTGAAAGAGAAATATTAAGTATGCTTTTCACAGATCATCTGAAAGAGCTCATAGGCATAATACAGTGATATCCAGCAGTTTATTTAAAGGACAGAGATACAGACAACGCTAGTTCCTAATCTGATTGCTCTTAGTATTCAAAAAATGGAACAGGGAAGAAAAGGATTTAATTGGAGGTCAAATTTTGAATCCCTGTGCTGTTTAATTCTGAGTCAAACATTGAAGCTAATGGAAGTATCTGGAAATAACACCACTTTTATTTGCAAGAGATCAGTATGGGGTTTATTTCCCTGTTAATTTGTTACCAGGTGCTGTCATGTGTACTTTGTACAGATGCTTTTGTGTTGCCAGCAAGAGATTCTTCTTAATTTAAAAAGCTTCTTCTTAACAGTTTAAAACTGGATTTAGAGATGAAATTCAGAGGAATGATGAAATAGATGAATAGATGAAATAGAGAGTAATTCAGAGGAATGGTTCAGGTGAGCAGCCTTGCCTGCAGTGGGACATGTTTTCTGTAGTGTTTTGAAGTAGTAGAATGTTTGTCTGCTTATTCCTTTTTTTTTTTTTTTTTAATTCTTCCTTAAGAACATAAATATATATTTTTATTTAGGAGTTACATCTGTGTTGTGATGAGTTTGTATCTGGAGCAACTGTCTTTTAGTGACATGTCGACATTCAACATAAGACTATGCCAGATGTTAGAGTTGTAGTGATCTCTTGTATCCTTATTCATGACAGTAGCAATGAAAAAGTAAAGTTTTGGTTTCCATGAAATCAGCAGAAAGCCTTCCATGGACTTTGGTTAGACTTAGAGGAGCCTGATTTAAGCTGCAGCATTTGGAAAGTGTGGCCCAGGAACACAGGTAAAAGAGAACAAAAGGGTTACAGAGACATTACAGAAATTGTAATCCTTTTCATTACTTATAGTTAAAACTGCCTTTATATTTTTTTTTTTACTGATGTCTGAATTAAAATGTTGAGTGCAAAGACTTTGGGTACTTTTCCAATGGGGACTTCACTGCAGACTGCAGTGCAGCTTAGACGCAAAGCCTACTTTGAAGTTGTTTGGCTTAGATGCTAGAAGCAGCCTGTCCTTGGTGACCCACAGCTCACTGCAGACTAATTTTCACTTAGTTGTGCCCAAACTCGACTGCAGGAGGCTGTGTGCAGTGCTGCCGCAGCACGCCTGCTGCCCATGCTCGAGCCTCACCAGCCCTGCTCTCAGCCCCAGTTGCTACACAGCAGGCTGTAGTGTAGCATCCCCTTTGTCAAAGTTTCAGCACTACTGATAATCCAAAGGTGGAGACATCTGCTGCTCTTTGCTCACTCCTAGGAGAACTGCAGCAAAATACAGTGGTTTTATTTGACTGCAAAAGGGGTTCACTTCAAGATGTTGGGTTTTTGTTGACAGAATGGTCACAGTCAATATGATAATGTTTGTGTTGACTTTGGCAGGATAAAGAGAACATCAAGCTTTAAGTCTGAAAAGGAAGGAGGCTGTTTCTGAGAAGAGATGGATGTGGAAACTGAAGTAAAAGAGCAAAAGCAAGCACATCAATCCTGCCATCTCCCCTTCCTCTGTTCTCCCATGAGGCTTGGGCGATGTGACCTAGTGTGAGGCATCCCTGCCTGTGGCAGGGGGGTTGGAACTAAATGATCTTGAGGTCCTTTCCAACCCAAACCATTCTATGATTCTGTGAGTACTGCTCTGCCCAGCCCTTTTGCCAGCCAACTGGGAGGCACAAGTACTACTGGAAACTGAAATCTAGGCTATTGTCCTTCCAGTTGTCTTCTGCTATACAGCTCTTCATGCAGGGGAAAGTTGTTTTTGTAGAGAACCTTCTGGCAGTGCGAAGGAAATGTTCCTTCAGTGGTAGAAGATATGTATTAAGGATCTCATGATACATGTGTTGTTCGATGAGATTTTCTAAAATGAGCTATTAGCACTGTAGAAGTACTTCTCTAATGTGAGCAAGGATTGTGGTTTAGATTTGCCTGCAGCATAGATGGCTTTCATTTCGATGTAGGTTTAGAACTGATGTGGGGCTCCAGAGAAAGATGCTGGCTGTACTGAGCCACCACTGTCCTGCTTATGGTGGGTGGCTGGAGAGGAGCTGCCCCATTTGCCAGACCTGTGCTGGAAGAGCAGGGTTTGTGTTGGGGCTGTGGAGCAGGAGCTCTCACAGCAGGTGGCAATGGTCATTCCTTGTATTTGCTACTCTTCAAGAGAAGTGCTGGAGGATTCTCACACAGAGAAGCAACACCTGCTGCTTGGCACAGGGCTTGGGGCAGAGTTGAGCGGCTTGTCTTAATGCTTTTCCACCTGTGGAAGTGACCTTATTCTGTAGGCTCTTACCATTTGGCATACAGCTCAGAAATACTCTTTTCCTCCATTTGGCCTGTGAGTGATTACTTAGTACTGAAGGCAAAGCTTTTTAGTTTCAGCACTGGGAATGGCTCATCCTTTCAGGAAACACACGTTTGGATGCCCTGAAACTGGCAGCTGACCTGCAGCACTGACACCGTTGGTTTACCATCCATGAATTCATCAAGCAGGCCTTCTGGTTTTGATCAGCTGATGCTTTGAATTGTGTTTTATAATCTCAAAATAGGGTCAGGCTAATCAACATGCTGCTAACTGTATCGGGCTTGTGTATCGGGAATAGCAGAGGTGAGAAGGCAACCATAGAGCTCAAAAAGTGCAGTTCTGCTTTGAAGTTCACCTGGATAATTACAATTCTTCTGTCAGTGCCTCTAGGTGATAATTTTATGTAATGATCTTTGTTACATAAGCAAACAATTAATGAATATCTTGTTTATTTCTAATAGAGAAATTACAGACATCACTGAAACTTGTGGAAGAGAATTTAAACTCATACTTCTTACTCTAAGTAAGATAGTCATATATTATTCATAATTCATGTTCTCTCTTCAGTTCATATGCGCTGTTCCTCTTGGCATCAAGGTATGACTGGGGCTACAAGGCACTACTGTAACACAGAAGAAATATTTATGATCTAGACCGATTGAATTTGTATCTGAAGAGAATAATGTAAAGTAATGTGGATAGGAACATTATCTTAATGCAGGGGAAAAACAATGTGGACATGAGCCAGGCAGCAAAAGGGAATAGGAGAAATAGTTTCACTGTGGTGACTTTATTGCTTTGGAGGATTAATTCCAGTTGGAGTGGAATGTCTGTCAATCTGTAAACTCATTATTCAGTTCAGACACTCTGGTGAGCACACTGATAACGCTAGTTGTTTGGGATGGATGGTTTGGAGATCAGTCATTGCCCTGCAGTTGCCTTTAAGAGGCTTAACAGGGTGATATTGTATCTAAACCTCTGAGTCTAGAGGGCAAAAACATGCTAAGTTCTTGTGGGTTTTGCTCTCCACTTACAAAACCCTCCAATTTGTGAAAATGGCTCATTCATAAAGATGTTCTGAGGTTTAAAGTTCAAGTGCTCGAAGATTAGAGTCATGTGAAGCAAGCTGGAGGGGTGTTGCTACCCCTCTGGATGCTGCCAGCTGCCCAGTGGCAAACATCATGACTTCTTGTGAAAGTTTCAGGGTTTCTTTTCTTCAGGTTCTTCTGCTTAGTCACATGAGCTTGATTTGTGGGAAGACTGTTGCTCAGTAAGACTCCATAGACTGGGAGCATAAGGAGGAAATCAAACAGCGGCATGACTACAGAAAATACCCTGATGGCTTGAAAGGATTGCTTTAAAATTTCTGTTAGTATTTCCTGCACTTGATAGTTCTTTCTATTTGCAAATAATGTTGCATCTGTGAAATCTTCAAGATCCAGTAGTTCTGCTTGAGAAATAGATATGTATGTCTTTTGATCTCTGCTTACTGTCTGTCTTCATCTAGAGTAAGTAACAAAGAGGAAGAATGAAAACATTTAGCTTTCTTGCTCATTTACTCCACCTGTAATAATGCTTTTAAAATAGGACTGTTTGGTTTGGAGAGAAAAGTATAACCTCTTTTTCTAGCCTTCAAAAAGCTGTAATGTTGATATAACTGATGTAGAATAAGGGTGTTAGAAAGATAAAAGATACCACCTTTAAGAGGTTTGTAATGTCTCACTCTCTCTCATATATATATGTATCTCATAGTAGTTACTATATTCTAAATAAAAAATTTCAAAAGCAACAGAAATATTTAGGACCTAAATAAGCAGGTCCCTGTCCAAAGAGATACCTTTTGCTTTCAGTGTTGTGGTAGCCCTGTTTACTCTGGTCTTCATAGCTTCCCAGATGTAGTTCTGTTTCCAGCACATAG